ATGATGCTGCTTGGCCTGCTGTGTTCATCCAGCTCTACACCTTATCTCATGTCTTACTAACTTTGTTTAAATTTTTTGAGGAGGTGACGAAGATGATCATTGAGGATAGAGCAGTGGATGTTGTTTACGCGGATTTTACTAAGACTTTTGACAAGGTCCCTCATGGTAGGCTCATCCAGAAGATAAAGATGCATGGGATCCATGATGACTTGGCCGCGTGGATTCAGAATTGGCTTGCCCACGGAAGACAGGGTAGTGATGAAAAGGTGTTTTACAAGCTGAGGGTCCGTGACTAGTGTTTTTTCTTTCTGTTCATTTGTATGATGTGGGCGTTGCTGGCTGGCCAGTATTTCTTACCCATCCCTAGGTGCCCTTGAGAAGATGGTGGTGAGCTGCTGCCTTGAACTGCTGCAGTCCACCTGCTGTGGGTTGACCCACAATGCCATTAGGAAGGGAATTCCAGGATTTTGGCTCAGCAACAGCGAATGAACAGGGATACATTTTCCAAGTCAGAATGCTGAGTGGTTTGGAGCAGAACTTGACGGTGATGGTGCTCTCATAGGTCTACTGCCCTTGTACTTCTAAATGGAAGTGTTCATGCATTTGAAAGGTGCTGTCTGAGGATCATTGGTGAATTTCTGCAGTGCACCTTGCAGATAGTACACACTGCTGCTACTGAGCATCAGTGGTGGTGGGAGTGGATGCTTGTGGATGTAGTGCCAATCAAGTGGGCTGCTTTGTCCTGGACGGTGTCAAGCTTCTTGGGGCTGCACTCATCCAAGTGAGTGGGGAGTATTCCATCACACTCCTGACTTGTGCCTTGTAGATGGTGGACAGGCTTTGAGGAGTCAGGATGTGAGTTGCTCGTTGCAGTGTTCCTAGCTTCTGACCTGCTCTTGTAGCCACGGTGTTTACGTGGTGAGTCCAGTTGAGGTTCTGATCATTGATAACCCCCAGGATGTTGATAGTGGTGTTCCACAGGGATACGCACTACAACCTCTGCTGTTCGTGATTTATATAAATGACGAAGATGAAAATGTAGGTGGGTTAGTAAATTTGCAGACGACACAAAGATCAGTGAAGAAATGGTAGATAGAGTTTAATCTGTGTAAGTGTGAGGTGCTGCCGTTTTGGGAGATCAAATGTTAAGGAAATGTATACAGTTAATGTCAGGACTCCGAACAGTATTGATGTACAGAAGGATGTTGGCATTCAAGCCCATAGCTCCCTGAAATGCCCATGTAAGTAGATCGGGTGGTAAAGAATGCATAAGGTATGCTTGCCTTTATTGGTCTGGGAATTGAGTACAAGAGTCAGGATGTCATGTCACAGCTTTAAAAGACTTTGATTAGGCCATGTTTAGAATATTGCGTACAGTTTTGGTCACCATATTACATGAAGTATCTGGAGGCTTTGGAGAGGGTGCAGAAGAGGTTAACCAGGATACTGTCTGGATTAGAGGGTATGAACTATAAGAGGAACCTAGAAAAACCCAGATGTTTTCTCTTGAGCAGCATAGGCTGAGGGGAGACTTGATAGAAGTTTATAAAATTATGAGATGCATGGATCGAGTTGAGGGTCAGAATTTTTTTCTAGTGCTAAAGTGCCTAATATTAGGGGCATGCATTTAAGGTGAGAGGAGGAAAGTTCAATGGAGACGTGAGGGGCAGATTTTTTACACAGAGCTAGGAGTCTAGAATGCACTGCCAGGGTTGATGGTGGAGGCAGATATGATAAGGGCATTTAAGGGACTTTTAAATAAGCACATGAACATGCGAGGAATTGATGGATATGCATCAATGGCAGGCAGAAGCAATTAGTTTCGTTTGGCACAACGTGGTTGGCCAAAAGGCCCATTCCTGTGCTGTACAGTTCTATATTTTATGTTCTAACCCCTTCTGGGTACTAACGAAACAATTCTGACCTGTAATTTTCAAACCAAAACTCTTACACTGAGGTGATCTAATTCCTAACTCTTCTGAGTTTCAACCTACCTGATTTAAGATTTGAAGGGTCCACAGCGTACACGGTGTACAGTCCTGGCATCATGATGAATTTAAAGCCCCGTGGACTAAAGTAATACTGGCAGCGTGGGCACAAAATTAGCCAAAGCACTGGAAACCGTGAATGGTGCAATCGTTTCAGAAAGCAGGGAAATAGTTAGTGTTGTCCTCCACAGGTAATATAACTAAATGGTACAGTTCTAAAAGGCCTGCTGGACATACACTTGAAGTGTGTGAACATGAATCCTTGAAGTTATTGAGACTGTTAAGAAAAGCATATGAGATCCTTCGCTTTATTAATAAGAGGACAAGAGTACAAAAGTAAGAAAATAAAGGTAAACATTTATAGAACATTAAATAGGCCTCTGCTGAAGTATTATATTCTATTCTGGGTATTACATTTGTTCCAAAATAAACAGAAAATGCGGGAAAAACTCAGGTCTGGCATCATCTGTTGAGAAAGAAGCAGAGTTAACATTTTGAGTCCAAAGACGCCGCATTGAAATGGTTTTGTTTCCTTTCATTACATTTGTTACGGTCCTTTCAGGAATCATTTAAAGAAGAAATCCTAACACCCAGCAAGTAATTGACAGTACTGCTCCACAGCTTTTTAACAAAAACAGACTTCATACAATAAATATTAATTAAACAAACACCCCTGAAAACTTATTGATGAGTCAAGAAAGTATTATGTACAGACATACAAAATGGGAATCCGTCTGAACTGCATATGCATCATGCCTGCTCTGCTTGTGTTTTGAATTTCACATTTCTATTTGCCCAAAATAACCTTGATTCTCTTAGCTAAGAAGAAACTCTCGATCTCTGCCTTTAGTGATTCAGTAACCCCACTTCCACCACCTTCCAAGGCAGAATGTTCCAAAGTTTCTCAATACTCAGAAAACATTTCTCCTCGTCACTGTCATAATGGTACAACTCCTCAGTTTAAAACAGTACTCCTTTATTTTGGATTGACCCACAAGAGGGAAGATCCTTTCCATTACTATGCATGATCTTATGCACTTTAATCAGGTAACCCCTCACTCTTACAAATTTCAGCAGAAGCAAGCAGGTATAACCTGTCCTTAGAAGACACCAATAGAGTTACTGTGATCTGGAAGGCATTGACTGAAAAGATTATCAAAACAAATGCAACATTAACACTTGAGGGAATCTGATAAATACTATAAGGACAAATGAGTAGAACTAATTGTATAGCTCAACTAACAGACTGTACTAAGGGCCAAACAACTATCACTTGTGCCGAATGAGCCTATGTTTCTATTATAATTCACTATCCTATAAAAGTGTTATCTTAATGTAGGCTTGAGATCTTGTTGTTGCATGATTCATTCTTTAGCTCTTAATCAAATTTATTTACAAACAAGATAGGTTTTTGAACTAAAAACAGAAATTTCCGGAAAGACTCCAAGTCTGGCAGCATCTGTGGAGAGAAAGCAGTGTTAATGATTCAGGTCCGGTGACCCTTCAGAACTGGAGTTGAAACGTTAACTCTGCTTTCTGTCCACAATGCTGCCAGACCTGAGTTTTCCAGCAATTTATGATTTTGTTTCTGATTTCCAGCATCCATAGTTCTTTGTTTTATTTTTATATATAAGTTTTTGAATAACTAACCAGGTAAGTTTAAATAAAAGACAGTGTTGAGGAGAGGTTAAGTGAGCTGGAGTCTCAGATGGCCAGCCAGCCTGCCCCCAGCCTTCCCTAATACACACCTTCTGTAATACCTTTTGCAGCAACTTTCTGGGCTGTGGTATCATAATCGTACCCACCACCCTGACATCTTTGCAGCACAGAATCACCGCTCTCCAAAGTTTGCCACTTTGTTGTGCTCAGCATGTGAAAAGTCCTTTGGAAGCACAGCGTCTCTGAATAAACACATGAGGTCTGACCATTCAGGTAATATCTCTTTTTCGTAATTTAATTCCTCACTTGATTGTAGTGGTGTTGGGCTTCGCAGAACAGGAAAGACTGACTTCATACATGTAAAATCTGACACAATTCTAAAGAATGTGCAGGAATAGAAGGGCATGAAGGTGCATGTGCACGGATCTTTGAAGGTAACAGGCAATGTTGAGACAATGGTCAGTAAAGTGTATGTGATCTTGGACTTCATAAAGCGGGACATTGTGTACAAAACCAAGAACACTGTGCTGAACCTTTTATTAAGCTCTGGTCAGGCTCGAACTAGCATTTTTCAATCAGATTTCGTGCCTTACTTTACGAAAGGAGTGAATGTTCTTAAGAGAATGCAGAAGACTTTTGATAAAATGGTTCCAGAGATGGGGGATTTTAGTAGTAAGGTTAAGTTGGAAAGACTGGGGTTGTTGTCCTTTGAGCAAAGGAGATTGAAGGAAGAATTAATAGAGACGTACATGATTATGGCAGGTTTAGATAAAGTAACATTTGAGTTATTTGAGAGGGAATATGACGAAGTTTTTTTATGCAGTGTATGGTTATGACTGAGTTTCCACCAAAGCTACCGATTCTTACTCGCTCCTCTACAGGTAATGAATTTGAATGGTGGAAGTAGAAATAATGAATAACTTCAAAAGGAACTTGTATTGGCACTTGATAAAACTAAACTTGCAAGGCCATGGGGATCAAGCAAGGATAGCTTCACAGAATGTGATCATGAATTTGATGAGCTGAATGGCCTCTTGTATTGTAAATGTTTCTTTGATTCTATGTTCGGGGTGTTCACTTAAAACAGTGGTGGGTGTGGTGGTGATCAGTTACAAAGCAAGCTGGATAAGTTGCTTCAAAATTGTTCATGCTTTGGCTAAAGACGAATCATAAATATCAAGTTGCAGCCACAGTATCCTCCTGTTTGAATAACTTATGTTCACACTGCATAGAATTACAAGTGAACAGTGCCAATTCATGAGTTAGTATGGGGGCTGTACCCGCCTTGGAGTAAGAAGTGAGAGTTAACTCAGAGGAGGAACAACATTCTTTCTATTGGTCTCCTTTGAATTTAGTATCAAATCCAAGTACGATATTTTAGTTTGAAGCCATTTTTTTCCCCAGAACTAGATTTTAAAATAATTCTGTCAAAAGCAGTATACTCTTGGATGTAATCTACAGTACATTAAATTTATTATCAAATTTAGATTGTTTCCTGCTGTTCTAGGTTTAGCTGTTCTAATCTTACTACTGGGTCTCTTTCATCACGAAAAGAGTGCAGTTATCTCTTCCAAGGCAAGAATTGTCAGTTTGTAAACAATCTGTATATCTTTTAATTAATTAATGGGATGTGTCTGTCACTGGCTAGGCCTGCATTAGTTACACATCCCAAATTGTCCTGGAGATGGTGATGCTAAGCTGCTCAAGCGAGGCATATTGTGCGAATTGAAATATAAATTGTCTTCCATTTTGAATAATACACACGTGCTTGATGTGTATACATAGATGCAATTGTTCTTAATATTATGTTCCAGTTTCAGAATGCCATTGAAATGAATCTTAACCTAATTCTGGCCCTGCATTGAATGTATCCCACCGTACCTTGTTCAGCAATTTCTGCCATGTTGGACAAGAGTATTTATTCGGTCCACATCAGTTGTTGTATTGTGTATAATTTTCTTGTTTAGAGTGTGGCACATATTTCATTGTAGTTCCACTAATACACTAAGCAATCTATAATTTTCCAACCATTAAATAGCAGATCACAGACTGTTGTGACTGACATTTAATTCTAGCACTATCACTTTTCTCTGATGAATTATTGCACCTTTATTCTCTCAGATATCAAGATGCTGGAGTGCGAGAACTGTAAAGACACTTTTGCCACACAAGCATTGTTGCACATACACGTGAAGTCCAAACATTCAGGTATGTAGTGACAACCTGGGTAGCATCAACTCGTTTAAATTCCACAAGTTCCCTGATGATGGATTTTCAGATGTTTGAGTGAATATTCTGTCTGTCAAGATGTTAGATTTTACTTATTCGGGCCCCCTGTATTGGCCCTACCCCTGGACCGAGAGGCCTGGGTTCAAGTCTCACTTGCTCCAGAGGTGTGTCTCTGAACAGGTTGCCTAGGAAAAAATAGGTCAACGTATTCAGACACACCTCTGAAGCAGGTGGGACTTGAACCTGGTCTTTAGATATAGGTACACTACCATTTCACCACAAGAGCACCTCTAAAAGATTATAGAAAGGCCTGGTCACACCACGTTTGCAGCACTCCAAGCAGCTCTGGTCACCACATCATAGACACTCTTGCAGGGTGTGTAGCATAGATATTTTTAATCAACCTGTTCAAACTTGTTATGACACACACCTCTGGACCCGGTGGGAGTGGAACCCTGGTCTTCTGGTCCGGAAGTGGTAACACTACCACCGCACCACAAGAGTTCTCAGGGTCAGTCAAGCTGTTGCTGCATTGCATCTTGATATTTTAACCTGACACTTTATATTTCATATACAATTGAACTGCAACTATCTAAAGAACTGAAAGTATCTTTTTCTTGATCACTGAACCTACATCTGTGCTCTAATACAGTTTTAGATTTTTGTAAAATCTGATTTGTAGGTCACAGCTTTCTATTTGTTCATTTATTTTTTGATCCGGATAACAAAGCTTGCAATTTTCAGTCAGTCAGTCTGAATGTACAGTGGATGTACTCTTGTATTAAAAAGCCAATATATTATTCAGCCAATATACTGGGATAAACTGTTCCTTGTTTAATACAAATAAGGATTGATAGGGCTAAGGGAATGTTGCACAGTAGGACCTGAATGTTTGTTTTTGTAAAGAAATTTCAATAAGTTAAAGAGCAAGGATGCTTCACAATTAGGAAAGGTATGTTGGCCTTTATTTCAAAGAGATTGAAATATGACAATAAATGTCCTGTCGGAAATGGCATAGATGAGACCACAGGGAGATTTGTTACAATCTTGGTCTCTGCCTAAGAAAGGATATACTAATCATGGAGAGGACGTAATGAAGAGTTACTAAACTAATTGCTAGGATGAGGAAACTGTCCTGTAGGGTGAATTTGAGTAGACTTTGCCTATATTTAACAAAATTCAAAACTGGTTATATTAGCATGTACCATTTTTAGGAAAAGGGATATAATATTTCCCCTGGCTGGCAAGTCCAGATTGGGGCACAGAGCAACATGTTAACCAATTACAGTTGAGATGAGAATTGCTTTTCAAGAAGAATTATGAATCTTTGGAAATCTGTACCTAGAGAACTCAAGATGCTCAGTTATGTTCAAGATAGAGATTATTGTAGCTGTCAAAGGTGATTAATGTTTTCAGGGGCAGTCTCTCCTCCCTCCCCCAAAAGCTTCATTACAAGAAACTGTTTGATAAGAACAGATGGATTCTTTTAAAACTGTAGACTGAAGATTAGAGATAACAAGATGTAGAGCTGGATGAACACAGCAGGCGAAGCAGCATCAGAGGAGCAGGAAGGCTGACGTTTCGGGCCCAGACCCTTCTTCAGAAAAGGCTCCTCTGATGCTGCTTGGCCTGCTGTGTTCATCCAGCTCTACACCTTGTTATCTCAGATTCTCCAGCATCTGCAGTTCCTACTATCTCTGAAACTAGACTGAAGATTAATTGGTATTTGAACGTGTTCCACATGAATCTTTGATCTAAGAAAACATCACGAAGCTTAGTATTAGAAAAATAATCCTTGATGACCTAGCATGTTCTTGTTCCAGAATATGGCATGACATAAATCTGCATGTCTATGTTCATGGCAACTATGATCCGAAGTTCTGCAGGCGATGTATGCATGTTGAACTTAAATGAGCAAAAATTTGATAATTATTCCATCTTGCAAGGACAATATTCCCTATTCTGCTCCTAGCGATTTATTTGGATCCCTGTTTAAAGAATTAATTATGTCAACATTATTTCTTTTATTTTTTTTTATATATCCATGATGTGTTGGGGAGGGTTTGCTAAAAATTCTCATCTCTCTTGACATTTGGTAATTTAAAATCTTGCCCTCCAGCTTTGTGCTCAGAATAGTTGTATATATCCAAATTGTTTATGTCCAAATTAGACTAATGTGCCAACTTGTTGCAGTTGCAGCACATGACGAAGTATGTGGTAAATAGTGAGTGCAGTGTGATGTAGAACTAAATAAACCTACAACTAGTGGATCAGATCAAAGCTCTGCTGTGCTGCCACATTCAATGATGGACATTGAAGCAAATGACCGGAGGAGGAAGGGCAACAAATATCTCCCTCCTTGTGGCAGAGGCCAATACGAGTGCAGAAGACTATGCCAAAACATTTAGCAACCATCTTCTGCCAACAGTAACCATTAATATGAACCTCGGTTTCCTAAGGTGCTCACTGTCACAGAATTTTTTTTTTAATTAGGCCATGTAGCTAACCATGTAAAGCTGCTGGTGAGCTACCTTCTTGAACTGTTGCAGTCTGTGCTTTCGGGACACGCATGGTACAGAGGAAGGGAGTTCCAGGATTTTGACACAACGTAGTTCTAAGTCAGGTTGATGTGTGGCTAGGAGGGTAGGTTGCAGGTTGGCATATACCTATGCATCTGCTGCCCTTGCTAGATGGAAGAGGTCACTGGTTTAGAAGATGCTGTCAAAGGAGCTTGGCTGATTTGTTTCAGTGCCTCTTCTAGAGGTACATACTGCTGGCACTCTGTGGGGTGGAGGAAGTAAATGTTGAATGTAGTGGCTGGTGTGTCAGTCAAGAAGGATACTTTATCCTGGTTAATAATGAGTTTGAGTAATGTTGGAGCCGCACTCACCAAGCAAGTGGGGAGTATTCAGTCACACTCCTGACTTGAGTCCTGTAGGTGATAGACAGTCTTTGGGAATCAGTAAGTAAGTTACTTACTGCAGTGTTCCTAAACTCATACCTACTCTTGTAGCTATAGTTCTGTTTCTGGATTCCAATAAACCAAGGATGTTGATGGCTGTGGGTTTAGCAACAAAAAAGTAATTGAATGACAAGGGAAATGGCTGAGTTCTTGCTTGTTTGAGATAATCATTGACCGGCACATGGCACTAGCGTTACTTGCTAATCTTCTGCCACCTCAGCTGGTTTATCCTGCAAGATGCCCTGCAGCATCTCGCCAAGCCTCCTTCAACAGCACTTTCAAAACCAGCAATCTGTACCAACTTGAAGAACATGATCTATATACAATCTTTTCACCCGTCACAGTTCGCTCACTGGTTGCAATTTTTTAATCATTTAACAAGAGCATGTATTGGATATTCTAGAGTCTACAGTGGTGACTGTAGTTGCTAAGGAAATGCAAATATTGGGGGGAAAAAAAGAGACAAAAGGCCGGGCTTGTTGCATTATAACAAGTAATTGGTGTGTTTTGATGGGAATGGAGTACAGTGGATAGAGAGTTTCCAGTGCCTGACGTTCTGGCACAAGGGACCAAGGATCTGAGATTAAATACTTGAAATTAGTGTAGGGAAAAAGAGAAATGTTTTCATACAGGCTTCAGACACTTAAATGTATAATAATTGAAACAAATATAATATCAAACCAGAATATGTTACATTCTTAAAGAGAAGGAGCAAAAAAGAATATGATGACAGCAGGCAAATGAGATTAGGCATACTGTTTGTGTGAAAGAAAAATGCAAGTACCAACAAGCTTGGGACAAGTGGTTTTTTCTCATACAAACAGACGAATTAGGAGTAGGAATCATGTCTAACACTTGTCTGTCGCTCTGCAAATCTTACCTTCCGACATTGTGAAGTCAAAGTTCAAGGTAGGAGCTGCATCTGAAGCTTAGTTGGTAGTTGTGGATGTGAAAAGATCTCAACTTCGAGATTCATGGTTCTTGCAGAAAATTGTTGAAATTCCATATGGATCAGATTCGTTGCTAGTGCATTGGCATTGGCATTGGCATTTGAGGTATTCAAAAAAGTTGACTGTGATAGCTACACCTTGAGTTTCACTTGATTTACTTTTCAGACTTCCTCTTTTATTCAGTTGCTTTCCAGCAAATATGAGGTTTCCAGTTTATCATGAAAAGTCCCAGTGGTGTCAGTGCATATTATGCCAGTCAGTGTAAACTTGCAGGAATATTTGTAATAATTACAGTCGCATATTCAAGGAGTGAGCAGTAATATTAGGTGGCTCTGGAAGTCAATTTCCACACAATTTTCTTTCTGCAGACACCCTGTTCCTACTCCAAGTATTGTTTCTGGTCTACTGCTGCTTGGTGTTACTTCAAAATGAAAGACATGTGACATAGAATCATAGAATCCCTATAGTGCAGAAACAGGCCATTTGGCCCATCAAGTCCACACCAATCAACTGAAGAGCATCCCACTCAAACCTACCCCTCCATCCTATCCTTGTAACCCTGTATTTCCCATAGCTAATCCGCTTAACCTGCATATCCCTGGACATTATGGGCAATTTAGCATGGCCAATCTACCTAACCTGCGCATCTTTGGACTATGAGAGGAAACCGGAGCACCCGGAGGAAACTCGTTCTGACCCGGGGAGAATGTGCAAACTCCACAGTCAGTTGCCTGAGGCTCTAATTGAACCCAGCAATGCTAACCAGTGAGCCACCTGTTGGAGTGTTTGTATTCCTTTCCACATTGTGTTTCTGAAAGATCTTTGTTAGGAGCTGGTTAGGAGCAAAAACCATATTCCGTAGTAGTGCGTAATTCAAGTGCAGTAACTAGACATTTCAAATATTAAAGACAGCCAAGCCTGCAGGATGTGATCGAACATTTCTCAATTGGCAATTTTCTCCATGGTTGCTTTCAAGTCCTGAATATGTCTGATTCCAGAATTGTTATTTAATATGAGCTTAACAGTAATATTAACTCTAAACAATCTATGAAGCCTAATTCATACTAATCAATGCAGTGTGTGTTCTTTGATAATAAGAATGTGTTTGAATATTGTACAGTTCTTAACTGATTGAGTATGCTTGTTAGAACCTTCAATCAAGGAAAACAAACATTTTAGAAAAAACAAAATTGCTGGAAATATTTAGATCAGAGAGCAGAACCAATGAAAGATAGCAGGGCTGATAAGGTGGCTAAGAAGGCTTGTAGGATTCTCCTTTTATTAGCTGAGGCATAGAGACGGCAAGATTACGCTAAAACGTCACCTACAGTATTTTGTATGGCTCTGATTCCTGAATTACGGGAAGGGTCTGATCATAGCAGCAAGAGTTCAGTGAAGGTTTACCAGAATGTTACCAGTCTGAAGATTTCAGCTATGAATGAAGATAGACTGGAGTTCTTTCCTTTGGAGGCTGAGGAAAGATTTAATTGAGGTGAATAAAGTAATGAGTTGACACACACAGTCTCATATAACCTATTACTCTTAGAGAAATCAATAACCAGGAGCAACATATTTAGAAGAAATACCTGGACATGTATTTTGAAGTAAGGTAGGTAGCTGACAGGGCTACAGACGCTGAGCTGGAAAATGGGTTAGGCTGGAGAGCTGTTTGCCAGCTGACAAAGACATGATGGGGTCAAAGATGACTTTTCCAATACACGCACTATTTTAATTTTGTATTAGCAAGGCTGTTGTTTGGAACATGCAACTTTGAAAGAAGTATATACTTTGCCAATTCTATTTTGTGTGGTTAAGCATGTGTGGTTAGATCATGAATTCACTAACTCTGTTTTGCAGTATACTGTTATATTTCACTCTTTGCTGTAATACGGTCATGTTTCTTTTCAGAGAAGCTTTTAACAAATAGGATTTAATTCCCTAAATATCACTTCATATTGACTTACGAACTACATTTCATCAGATTTGCAATATGTCCATTTTTTTCATCAGGAATCCACCCATTTAAATGTTCGTACTGCTCATCAACATTCCGATTCCCTGGAGCATTGCATCATCATTTAAGCACAGAACACCTAACTCAGCAAACCAGCAGTTTTGTTTGTGGAGATTGTGCCCAGCTGTTCAACTCACAGCAGGATTTAGAAGAACATCAGAGGAGCAAGCATGCTGGAATCCTGTTTGCTCATGTGCAGGAAGCAGCTGAAATGGTAAATATTCAGTCAGTCATTGGAACTGGCAAAACACTCTTGGGTGTTGAAGTGTTAAATGCATATGTCTCCTAAATAGCTGCTGTACTGAGTTCTTGTTATGTGAACTAATGCCTTCCTTCCCACTGCTATACCAGATATTTGTTTCAGCTACTTTCTCCTTCTTCTCTGGGGTGTAGTTATGCCCTAATGACATTGGTGATGGTCTTGTGGTATTATCACCAAACTGTTAATCCAGAGACCAAGGTAATGTTCTGGGGGCCTGGATTCGCATCCCGCCATGGCAGATGGTGGAAATTAAATTTAATTTTAAAAAATCTGGACTTAAGGGTCTAACGATGACTGTGAAACCATTGTCAATTGTCAGGAAAATCCCATCTGGTTCACTAATGTCCTTTAGGGAAGGGAACTGCATCTTTACTACATGTGACTCCAGACCCACAGTAATGTGGTTGACTCTCTGGGCAACTAGTGATAGGTAATAAATGCTGGCCTAGCTGGTGATGTCCTCATCCTGTGAATGAATAATATAAAAAAAAAGTGCCTTCAGAAATCAGCTCTGTTACAGGGGCATAGTGGTAATGTGACTGGGCCAGAGTAATCCAGAGGCCCAGGCTAATGTTCTGGGGACATTTGAATCCCACTATGGCAGATGGTAAAATTTGAATTCAATAAACAAAAAAAAATCTGGAATCAAAAGCTAGCGTAGTTGTGATCATGTAACTACCATTGATAATTGTAAAAATTATCCTGGTTCACTAATGTCGTTTAGGAAAGGCTATCTGCAATCTTTACCTAGAGGCAGTTTTAATAAATGGTCTGAGTAAAAGATCCCCTGGAAAATAGTGACCATTGCATGGTAAAATTTAGCACTCAATTTGAGACGGAGAAACTTGAGTCAGAAACAGCTGTGCCAGACTTAAATAATGAGAGAAGAGCTAGCTGGCCTGGTTGAGGAAGGAATTTAGCAATTTAAAAAATGAGGCAACCTTATTGAAACTTACAAGAGTATTAGGAGACTTGACAGGGCAACTGGGGAAAGGTTGCTTCCCCTTGTGGGATAGTCTAGGCCTAGGGGGCGTAATCTCAGAGTAAGAGATCACCCAACTGAGACAGAGGTAAGAGGAATTTCTTCTTTCAGAGGGTAGTGAATCTGTAGAATTCTTTACTGCAGAGGCTGTATCATTAAGTATATTCAGGGTTGAGATAGTTTTTTAATCAGTAAGGAATCAAAAGTTGTGGAGAAAAGGCAGGAAAGTGGAGTTAAGGATTATCAGATCAGTACAACCATTGAATAGTAGAGCAGACTCAATAGGCTGAATGGCCTACCTCTGCTCCTGTGTCTTATGGTCTTGTTTGGCCGACATGTGATTCCAGATCCACAGCAGAATGGGCAATAAGTACTGACCTAACCAGTGACGCCCAAATCCCTTGAAAGTTGTTTTCCAAAAATCTTTGTCTTGCATACTCTTGAATTCTATTGATGTTTTGTGTGTGCTGTATTCAATGGATCCTAAATGAATTACTGATTTCTCTATGAAAGGCTTGAGCCAAGTTATTACTAAAGGTGCAGTCCATGTAATAATGGCTATTTGATAAATTTTATATATTGCAATAATCCTACAGTCTTTGGAAACATGCATTGATAGAACCATGCAGCACAGAAGTAGTCCTTTCAGCCCATCCTCTCTGTCTATTCTTAAAAGAGCAATGCAATGCTTTATATTTGCACTTGTGTAAGTATCACTGCTAAAGCCAGCATTTATTACTCCTCCCTAAGTAAGACTTTTTTTTAATTCATTGATGGAATAAGATCAGCTGGCTGGGTCATTGCCGTGGTTCTGGAATCACATGTGGGCCAGACTAGTTAAGAATGCCAGTTTCCTTTGCTAAAGGAGATTGGTGAACCAGATGGAATTTTCTGACAATTGGCAATGTCTGATGGCGTGGATTGACACATGGAAGTATGATATTATTGCCATCACAGAAATAAGGTTGAGGAAAGGGCTGGACTAGCAACTCAGCATTCCAGGATATCGGATCTTTATATAGGATCTTTAGGTAAGACAGAGGAGGGTGTAAAAAGAGTTGTGGTGTAGCGCCATGAATTAAGGAGTCAATTACTGCAGTAAGTAGAGATGATATCTTGGAAGGGTCCTCAACTGAGGCTTTATGGGTACAATTTAGGAATGTTAAGGGGGCAGCTACTTTACTGAGAGTGTATTATAGGCCCAAAGGGCCAGCGGAAAATAGGGGAACAAATTATGTAGACAGTTCACAGATGTGTGTAAGAGTATTAATCAGGTAATTATACCAGGGCATGTCAAGGTTCCCAACATAAATTGGATAGTCATAGTGTTAAGGGTTTAGAGGGGGTGGATTTCTTTAAATGTTTCCAGTGCAGTGCTGGATCTGGTTCTTGGGAAAGAAGCTGAACAACTGTTTGATGTGGCAGTGAGGGAACATTTATGTGATAATGACCACCACATAGTATGGTTCAGATTTTTTCTGGACAAGGGGAAAAGGTGGCCTGATAAAGACGGCCCATTTTGGGGGAAGGCAGGTTTTATTAAGATAAAGCAGAATCTGGCCACAGTAGACTGGGGACAGCTCCTTGTGGGTAAGTCTATAGCGGAACAATGGGGGGCATTCAAGAAGGAGTTGGCGAGAGTACAGGTCCAACATGTACCCTTTAGAAGGAAATATAGGAGCAATAAGTTCAGAGAACCCTGGATGTCTGGGACAATTCGGGACTGGATAAAGAAGAGGAGTAAGGCTTTTAGCAAGTCCAAAGGGAGCAATTTAGCTGTGACCCTGGAGAAACACAGGAGGGAACTTAAGAAAGCAATCAGAAGAGCAAAAAGGAGGCATGAGAAAGGACTTGCAGATGGGATTAGGGAGAATCTTAAGATATTTTATAAATACATTTAAAGGGATGAGGTTGACCAAGGAGACAACCCGTGTCTGAAGCTGCAGGATATTGGAAGGGCATTGAATGAATACTTCTCTTCAGTCTTTACCTTGGAAAAGGAGAACGTAGGTACGGCATTCAGGAAAAAGGACTGTGAGGAACTTGCAGTTTGATACAGGAAATGGGGAGGTATTGGAGGTTCTGTCAGGTTTAAAACCGATAAATCCCCTGGCTTGGATGAATTATATCCCAGGTCGCTGTGGGAGGTGAGGCAGGAAATTGCAGGGGCTCTGACACAAATTTTTAATTCCTCTCTGGCCATAGGGGAAGTGCCAGAGCTCTGGAGAATGGCTAATGTGGTTCCATTTTTCAAGCGGGGTGGTAGAGATGAACCAGGAAATTACAGCCTAGTGAGTCTTGTGTCAGTGGTAGAAAAATTATTGGAGAAAATTCTGAAGGAGCGAATTAATACCCACTTGGAAAGTTATGGGTTAATTAGGGATAGTCAGCGTGGCTTTGTCAGAGGGAGGTCATCCCTAACAAATTTGTTAGAATTTTTTGAAAATGTGATCAAGTATGTGAATGAGGGAAGTTCAGTTGATGTAGTCTATATGGATTTTAGCAAGGTTTTTGACAAGGTCCCATATGGGAAAACTGATTGAGAAGGTTAAAGCACTTGGAATTGATGGAAACTTGGCGAGATGGATCAGAAATTAGCATAATAATAGTACACCAAGGTTACTGGTGGAAGGCTGTTTGTGATTGGAGGCCGGAGTCCAGTGGTGGACCACAAGAATCAGTACTTGGGACCCTTATTGTTTATCATATACATAAATGATATCGATGAAAATGTGGGGAGGAATGTTAAGCAAATTTGCTGATGACAGCAAGATTAGTAGAGTGGTTAATAATGTACAAAAACAA